TCAGTTTATCAATTTGTTAATTAAGTAGGTTACCTTCTCTTTCCTGGCTTCTGTAAAGATATGGAAATGATAGGTTATTTAGGTGAAAGTTATGTTAGAGATCACTTTTTAAACCCAATTTCATTATCCGGCCATAAACTTGACAAATGATAGCACTGGAATGAGTTTATGGGTATTGTAGCGTTTATCTCATCCCTTGGATGATTTTTTAAAAGGTTTTCAGTGACTCATAAAGCAGAAGTGTAGGAGTGAACATCGAACTGGCAGAAGAGAGCACACTGAGATCACGGAATAAAGTTTAAAAGTACTTTTCTTTGGTCTCCAGAGAGCAATTTACTTGAAAAGTTAAACAACTTTAAAGATATGGTGAAATTTCATTGGCACATCTCTAAATTTAGGAATAATTATTGAATCATTCAAATATCTGTACCAATTAGAAATCAATATTTTAAAATATTATTCTTAATGTGAGTCCCTGTAGAAAGCAAGAATTAAAATAATTTAACTAAATAATATTCAAAGGTGAATGTGTCCTATTTCATCACTGGCAATTAAAATGAATTTTTTACATTGCCTGCCTGAAATGAGATACATGTAAACATGCTCTGTAAGCTGAAGAGTGACAGAAATGTAGGGTATTGTTGTTATTATTATTACTCCTGCTCTCCAAGGACCCAAAATATACTTGGCATGGTTAATAAACATTTGTTGTCACACCTCACATTGCAAGATCAAAACAGACTCCCTACAGACATTCCTGCCAATGCCTTGCTTATAACTAATTCCTTAAGTGGTTTTCGCTGGGCCATTACCTCACCCCTTGCTCTGCTCTGTAATGTCCTCCAACTTTCTCTCGGAAGGGAGCCTGACCTACACAATCCTGATTCATCAATGAGAGATGTGGCTTGTGTTACACTTGCCCAGATGTGGGGTAAAGAACTACTCTTGGGTCATTTCAAAGCTTGCTTGAACCCTCAGTCAGGCCTTCTGCAGCTCCACTTCCTGAACACAGTCCCAGGCAGGCCATCAGAATAAATGTTAATTTGTTGCTGAGTGTCTCAGAAAACCCAGTCAACCCTACCTTCACCTATATGGATGCTCTTATTTTTCTGCCTTAGAGACAAGTGTTTCCTCAGTGGGTTTTATAACAGAGAAGCAAAATAGCTTTTGAAAAAAGTGCAAATAAAGCAACTGTGACCATAAAGGTATATATCATAATGTGTCCTTATGGGGATTAATTACTCCCCCCCCACCAAGAAATGTTTGCCCTGGCTTAGAGCTCAGTTTGGTATTTTCTAAACTGTGCTGGAATAACTTTTCCTTATAGCAGAGTAGGTAGGGGTCAAGAGGAGCATGAATAAGTTAAATCTCTAAATAATGGGACAGGGGGTGGGAGACTAATTTGAGTCTCTAATCCCTAACCTCCTTCTAGTGTTTTAGGAAAGCCGTTATAGAGAGTGACGCTAAATCGATGGAGTTTTACTCTCCTCTCTCCCCATTATTACCTGATAGAAATCTTCATGAGAAAAGAAATCTGACCTCATCATTCGTCTCCAAACACACACAGGCAATAGTGGACTACCAAGAATCAACTCCTTCATATTCTTTTTTAGCATAATATTTTCCTAAAATAAGCAAAGAGACCTGTCAGCAGCCATTCCTAGGAATGTTTGCACAGCCATGTAAGGTGTTGTCCTAGTCAGGCCTCCTCAGCAAGTGAGAGGACCTAGAGGACGGCTTGCTGTGTTCTAGGGAGATGCATCCATTCCGCTTGGGTTGCTCGCAGAGCAGGGCACTGGGTTTCTGCTGGGGTGAGCTGCAGTGCTTGGTGCTGCCCTGGCTCCCTGTTTCAGGCCAGAGGACCACTCTTTTCCTGGTTAGCTATCTTTCAGAACTTTACCACTCAGCCTCCATGTCATATCCGTTAGGATGGCTACCATAAAAAAAGAAGGAAAGTGTCGGTGAAGATGTAGAGGAATTAGAACACTTGCACACCGAGGATGGAAATGCAAACGAGTGCAGTTGCTATGGAAACAGTATGGATTTTCTCAAAAAATTAAGAATAGAATTATCCTATGATTTAGCATTTCACTTCTGGAATATTCCCTCCAAAATTGAACGTAGGATCTCAAGGAGGTATTTGTACGCCCACATTCGCAGCAGCATCATTCACAATATCCAGAATGTAGAAGCAACTCAAGAGTCCCTAGACAAATGGATGGATACACAAAATGTATATACATGCAATGGAGTGTCACTCCGCTTTAAACAGGAAGGAAATTCTGACATACGCTGCAATATAGATAAACCTTTAGGACATTACGCTGAGTGAAATGAGCCAATCACAAAAGGACACATACTGTATGATTCCACTTCTATGAGGTGCCTAAATTAGTCAGATTCAGAGACAGAAAGTAGAACGGTGGCTGCAGGGGCTGGGGAAGGAGAAGGAAATGAGTAGAGTTTCCGTTTTGCCTGAAGAGTTCTGAAAATGGATGGTGGTGATGGCAGCACAGTAATATGGACGCACTTTATGCCACTGAGTTGTACATTTAAAAATGGTTAAGATGGTAAATTTTATGTTATATGTATTTTACCACAATTTCCAAAAATAAAGATAGTAAAGAAAAGTGTATCAATGATCCAAAGTGGGTCTAGGGTTGAGTAGAAGTATCAAGACAGTGTGACTGGTCTCCGGAGTCAGCAAACATGGCATGTACCTCACCAATTCCCCCTTCCACTGCCCATGACAAACATTATTAATAAGTCACCCCAATATTTGTTCCTCCTGAGCCCAGATGCAACATTGTAACCTTTTTTAACATAGGCCACTAACAATTAGAGTTGATATATCAGCTATGTCAACATAGGAGAAAACTGTGAATGTCTTTGAAAGCCATGCCAGAGAAAAGGAGGGTATAATAATATAAAACTTCATAAGATGGGAAAAATCAATATGAATTTGATATATTAAGAAAAAATTCTGTTTCAACCCTTTCTCAAAAAAAGTCCCAAAATAACAAATAGAAGCAGTACATTTGGCCAACACCACAACTTATTTGCACCCATTTAACCCAGGTTCAGGTCTTTACATTTTCTACAAAAAGGAACCAGAACTCTTTGAAGGTGAATTGGTTTCAAGTCTTGGGGCAGGAAAATTCAGAGTGGGTCTAGAATATCTATCCTATTGTTGCAGAGAGCAAAGATGCTTTTTAAAACCACTGGATCAGTGCTAGAAGGACAAAAGGCAAAATGGGGGGAGGGGTTCCTACTGCCCAAGCTATACCCACGTAAGTATAAAGACATCATCATCATCATCATCATCTAGAACAACAGACATAAATGGAAAAGTTAATATAAAGTGTTAAAGGTTGTAGTAATATAAAAGGGAAATTGTAATTGTATTGTTTTTTATTAAGTTACAAGGTATTGACTACACAGCTAATTTGTTTCTTTTCTACTTAATACACAGACACTGCTAAGCATGGGTCTATCAAGTATGAATGTGAACCTGTTTCTATCGTATGAGGAAAGATTGGGAACTGTAAGTAGACCAAGCAGCTGCTTCAAAATTAGGAGCTATACTGTGAACACAATTGGCTCTGTGACCTTGTATCATACTATAGCAAGGAATAAGTGAAGTCCATCAGTTCATTGCCATTAATGATTATACATAATAAACAATGAAAAGACAGCCCAATGGTATGTCTTCAAGTGATAAGTTAGTTGAATGTCATGTCCACTCCCCGAGAGAGCAATGACCCACTCCCTCAGCTCTCGGGAAATAACCTCTAGGTGACCCTACTAATGAGACATTGATAAGACATATAATGTTCCAATTATACTGAAGAGGTCAACGTATCCTAGTGACAGAAAAATAAGGTAGGCTTTTGCCTTCTGTTCACAATTTCTGGTGAAAAGCACTGAATTTCAGGAAAAGAGTATCTGTCTGACAGATGGGGTTGTAAACTTTCCCTCATCTAACTAGCACACTTTGTAATAAATGGGGCGTGAACCACTGGACTGTGCAAACAGATCCTATACCCTGACCTGAAACCAAAGGGCTAACAACTTAGAACTTGCAGCCTCTCAGGGTCTTTTTCTTTCAGGGTATGATAAAGTTTCTAAAATCCTAGAAAGATGTGAATTTTATATCATGTAGACTTACTAAGGCAGAGTAAAAATTGAACCCCAGGAATGTGTAAGAACAAAGATGAAAACATAAGTTTTGTAATTATTGAAGTAGTTTAATGTAGGGGGTTTTTGTTTGTTTTTTGTTTTTTAAGGTATTTAGCTTATTTAAGAAAATCTGATATATTTGATTTGTGATTTTTAATCAAGTCTTTAAAAGTGTTTGTCAGGTTGTGATCACTGTAAACAATTAAGAAATTTTGCTTTGTCAAATCCATAAATTTTGACGACTTTGTTAATAAGTAGTATGTGACTATGCGAGGAGTGGCAACAATTACATTTAAAGAAATATTGCTTAATAAATTCCTAACATTATAAATTGGTCATTAAACAATGTGCAAATGGTCATGAGTATTCCTCCCCAAGCACAAAAGTCTACTGGACACTAAAGACCATCAAAAAGATAAAACCAGCCCAGCTGACTCAGCAGTTGAGCATCAACCTAGGGTCCAGGAGATCACAGTTCGATTCCAGGTCAGGGCACATGCCCGGGTTGCGGGCTTGACCCCCAGTAGAGGGTGTGCATGAGGCAGCCAATCAATGACTCTCTCATCATTGATGTTTCTGTCTCTCCCTCTCCCTTTTTCTCTCTGAAATCAATAAAGATATATTAAAAAAAAAAGATAAAACCAATTTGCCATCCCAGGAGAATCAAGAACATTAAAAGAAAAGATTGCTCTATCTTTTCTACACCAATGGTGTTAATTTCTCTGATTTAGTGGAACTTGACTTTTGGATCACCCTTCCAGGCGTGGTGAAGGTTTTGCTTCCCCAATTTCATTGCCAACCTAGAGCTGTCAATTCCATACCTTTTGGCTCTTCTGTTTTTCCTCTTGGGTTGTCATCTTTTGTGGAATCCTTCAAGGTTCCATATTCCTTTTCCATCTTAGCTGCTTCTTCCTTGGTACTATCTGTTTCTTCATGACTCTTCATTGATGGTGCTGTAATCAGATTGTGCACTATTGTTATAACCCTATCCACCCTTTATCCATTTATTAATTCCTAATGTAGAAATAAACTTTATTGAAAAGGTACAGTTTGAGCTCAGGTCATTTTTTTTGAGCTAAAAGAGATCTTAGTGATTATCTACTCCAACTTCCCCCTCCCATTTCACAGAAGAGGAAACAGGCCCAGAGAGGGGAGAGATATGCCAAGGTCATCCACTGAGTTAGCAGAAGAGCTGGGCCAACCGCCAGCTTTCTGGATTTTGGTTTAGTGTTCTTTCTCTCCTGCCACACTGTGTCATTAGAGCATAGATTATTTTCCTTACTTTAATTAATGTAGGCAATGAAGTGGGATAGGTCAGGTCCAAGTAAATTTGAGTCTTGGTTCCAAATGAAAGGAAGTCTCTGGTTGCCCAATCTCTCCTTTATGCTGTATTTTTAAAGAAGTTTGTTACTCAGAGTAGCACATAAGAATTTGGGGCTATGGCAGCTGTTTGGGGCTATGGCCACCTCCTAAGAATCTTCAGTAAAGTTGTACATTGATTTTCAATGCTTCTTGGGATCAGATTTCTGTGCTGAGGCTGGCCACAAAATAACCAAGGTTGTAGCTACTTAATCCTATGGTTGGACTTCATATTTTAAAACTTTTAATAATCTATAATTCTTTATCAATGCGTATTAAAGTTCATTATATTAATCACTCAAAAGGGTTGTTGTGCTAAAAGCTAGAAAAATAGTTGAATCATACCTGGGAAAAGCTTGCTTTTATTGTCAGTAACATTTTTTTCTAGCTTGTTCTTGGTCTGAAGAGCAATCGTTTCGTCCAAGTTTTCTAAAGGGAGGAGGGAAAAATATAATTTTATTTCCTGAAAGATGATACTAAATTTTTACTAAAAATGTTTAAATTTCACCAGAAATATCACAATAGCAATTCCACAATATTAACACTGCTAGTAAGATGCTTTGATGTGGATTTTATTTCTAAGAATCATAGACTCTCAGGATAAAAAAAGAATACTATTTGAAATCCTCAAGTTTAGCCTCCTACTCAGTTAATTGCAGAAGTTCCTTCCATATTTTTGTGCCCACTGCTATAACACACCAGGGTTGAAACTTATAATAAACACCTGTGGTTTTGGCCCACTCAACACCTTCTGATAAGTACACCTTAATTTTCCTTTGGAGAACTCAGATGTCTCCCACTCTCAGCACATTTGGCTCAAGTTGGGGCTGAATTAACCAGGCCTGGCTCCTCAGGGTCCTCCAGACCCCGAGCTACAGTGATTGGTTCAAGGAGAAGACCATGACTCCAGCCAGGCCGATGAGATTCAATGCTAGAACCATTGGGAGAAAGGGGCTCTCTTCCCGCTAGGTTGGCCGTACCCTGAGGATGTGAGAGGGGGGCTGTGCTGGCTATCTTGCTCCTGTAAGGGAACAGCATGTCTGGAATGAATCGACATGTGGAAAGTCAGGGCTGGGAGATGGGGAGGAATAGACTCCTCACACTATTGGTGGACTTCACAAACCCGAAGCCAGACCACCCCGAACCCTGGACTTTTCAGTTACATGAGGTAATTAAATTTTCTCTTCATTGAAGCCAAAGAGCTGTATTTCCATGATGTAGAGTCCTCATTAATTCTTGAGGCAGCCAGTTCTATTGTTAGGTAGTCTTAAGAGTGAGAATTTCCCTCTTCCTATCAAGATGAAATCTGTGTCCTTGTCTTTGTTCTAATTTTGCCCTTCGGAGTAGCATCATATAGGTGTTACTAGACACGGATCTAGACTGTAACCACCTCAAGATAGACAATGCATTAGAATCCACACTCTTTGTACTCAGGTATTCAACCAGCAGGCCTTTTTTTGCTACTTGCAAACAAGCATTTCTTTGCAGTTAATCTGTAAAGAATCCATTATTACTTTGTATTATTTCTCCCCAAGTAAATTCTTCCTTCCATCCTACCCCACCCCTCTATTGAGAAGAAAACCAGTTTATTCTATTTTATGATGCATTCCATTTTGGTATATTTCCTTCCAACTTTCTATATACACATTCATCTTTTAACACCAAAGTTGAGGTCACACTCTAAATGGCTTTAAGCATTCAACAGCATATCATGAACATTTCATCTTGTCATTAATCCTTATAAACTATATTTATATTGTATATGTGATGAACATACTATTAAAAACATTTAAAAGTAAAATTTAAATAATTTAACATAAGAATAACTAAATAATTTATTTTAAATTCTCCTCTTGTAGAGTATCTAGGTTGTTTCCATTGTTTGGTTCCTATAAACCAGTGCTGTCCAATAGTACTTCCTGCAGTGATGGAAATATTTACTTCTGTACTGTTCAATATCATAGCCACCAGATACATGTGACAACTGAGCACTGAAAATGTGTCTAGTGTAAATGAAAAACTAGATTTTAAGTTTTGTTTAATTTTGATTACTATCAATTTTAATAGCAATATGTGGTCAATGGCTACCATATTGGACAGCACAGCCACAAACAGTAGTGGAAATATCTGCCTTGTACATAAGCCTTGTGGCATGTCTAATTTATTTCCATAGGAAAAATGACTAAAGTGTGGAAGTTTTGAATCATGGGGTATTGGTATGAAACAATGACTGATTTGATCTACTGTTAAGTGAGTAAGTAGGCCACAAAGCACTGTGTGTAACATGAATCCATTTTTTGTTAAGTAAGATTAAAAAAAAGAAATGACATAGGTATACATGTGTGCCTACACACACACACACACACACACACACAGAGAGAGAGAAAATACCTGGAAAGACATAAACCAAAATGTTACCTGAATGCTGGTATTATGAGTGATTTTTTTTTACTTCCTTTTTTGCACTGACTGATTTTTAAAAAAAATAAATAAATGTGCTCTTTTATAATCAGGGAAAAAACAGTAAAATTCTTTTTATGTAGGAAAAAATGGAGTTTATACAGAATAATTCTAGATTGCTTAGTCCTATGAAATTTTCTCTTCTGTTTAATTCTCCCTCCATCATCAGAGGTCAGACTAACGGGCTGTGAAGTCATCTTGCCCAAAGGACACCAAGGATGAATGGTATTTGTTGATTAACTAAACCAAGCAGGAAAATAAAAGACTTTAAAACAACAACCGCAGCAACTTACATGCAGAATCAAAAAATGTCCAAGCTTATTTATAAAGTTCCAGGAATCAAGGGTTGACAAGCTTTTTCTGTAAAGGGCCAGATAGTAAATATTTTTGGCTTTTTGGGCCATATGGTCACAGCTACTCAACTGTTCCATTGTATCACAAAAGCAGCTGTAGACACTAAAACAAACGTGAATGGCTACGTTCCAATATAATTTCATTTACAAACACTGAAATCTGAATTTTACATAGTCTTCTCATGTTACAAAATAGTATTCTTCTTTTGATTTTTTTCAACCATTTGAAAATGTGGAAGCCATTCTTAGTTTGTGTGCTCTACAAAAATAGGTGATGGGCCAGATTTGGCCCATGAGCAGTAGTTTACTGGGCCCTGTGATAGATGACAAAGTCCTTTACTTAAAAGATGCAAAAGCTGAGGCATTTGCCTTTGTCCACATGACAGAGCTGGTCTGAGACAGAACTTCTGAGGCCCAGTCCAGGCTCATTCCTCCTGTTCACACACAGACCTCACTGGTTAAAGTCAAGACTCTTTTAGTCCCAACCATTCAAATACAATTGGGGGGGGGGAAGCCCAATTTTAATAAAATTGTCTTTGTGTTAGCAAGACAAAATGTAACACGTGAAATGTTTGTACTCAAACTGGATCTATAAAGATTAAAAGTTGATTAAAACTTCTGGTTAAGTTTATTTGTATGCATTATCAAGCTGGGCAATTCTTATTACCCAGATAATTCAGGCAATTTGGGCGTAAATCATCAGATTAGTGAAGTAATTATTGCCGAATCCCTAACTCACTTTGGATGATGAAGACTAACCACAGTAAAAACAAAACAAATAGGACTCTCACCAAGGTAGGAAACACCTTCCTCTGGCGATATCGTGCCATACTTCACCATCATCTTCACGAAGTCGATCAGCGTTTTCATGATAGTAATCAGTGTTTCTTTCTCTTTTGCCTCTTTTTCTATATAAGAGGACAAAATAAGTTTTAAAAACATTAGTGGCATATAGCTTCACCTTTTAATGTCAGTTTATAAAGTACAACATCTTACTGAAACCTTTCTCCCTACATTTATACCTAAAACCACTTACATTTAATTTACAGAAAGCCTGAGGCTTGATAGGGAATACAGGACAATGTACAGGTGTACTGAACTTTTCCAGGAACAGACAATTGTAATCTCTCCAAAAAGATTTACTTTAATCTAAAACATTTCACTAGTGGAGTAGATGAGAGAGACAGTGTGCCACCCAAGACAATATGAACTCATAAGGAAAGTTAGAAGATTAGCGACCCAAGAGCTTTTCTCTACTCAGGCTGTACTTTTTGAGGGCAAGAACAACCTGTTTTCCTTAATCAAGCTTAATATTTTAAATAAGAACATACATGTATCTTCATTTTTTAAATGTAAGGTTTATTTTTAAATAGCAGTATATATTACTTTATATACTTTCTTTCATTTGAAAGAATATATGTATATGGTAAAAATATTCTAATAGTACAGAAGTAAATAATAGTCAAAGTAACATTCCCTTCCTCCTCCCAACCCCTACTGCCTATAGGTTACCACTGGTAAGTGTTTCTTGGGAGCTCTTTATATATATATATCCTGCTCGGGATGGAGCCTGCAACCCGGGCATGTGCCCTGACTGGGAATTGAACCGTGACCTCCTGGATCATAGGTCCACGCTCAGCTGCTGAGCCACACCCGGCCGGGCGGGAACTCTTCATATTTGATGCACTGTTCTGCATCTTGATGCAACAAGATGCCAATGATTCCATAAAAGTTCAGTAGATGTATTAATTCTAAAATCAGAAAAAATCTATTTCTATTTTTGAAGGAGAGAAAAGCTAAGATGCTAGAGGAGAGCTCATTTCCCATGTTCTTTTAGCTGAAGGATTTTCTCTACATACTTCTAGCCTTTTCCCCCATCTTTTCACCCTTCCCACTCATGAGGTTAGGAGCCAGTAGACATCAGTGTGCATTCCTCTACCAGTGGGGATTGGGAAGCTTTCTTCTTTCTGCTCCCCTGGAACAGTGGAAGACAGAGACCTGAGAAAAGTATCTGATCTGCAGGCTCAGGCTGTCCCTGGGATTGGCCATTTCAAGAGCTGGACTGAAGAGTGGGGGGAGCACACAAGCCGACTGTGGGCTCTCATACTCAGCTCCATCCCACAACCCACTCTTTATCAGCATAAGATATATTTTGGTTTTCTACCCGCTTTATTATTTCTCAATTGGTTCAGACCTTGAGTGAGAAAGATGGGTACACTCAAAGACCTCAGTGTGTTTAAATTAAAAGTCTACAAAAATAAAGACAAAATGGAATGGGGTCAAAGAAATGGAAAGATTAAAAACAATTAAAGTACGGAACATTCCATGCAGTGGGAATCTTTAAAATACCATAAAAACCACAAGGTTGGGAGTGAGGAAAGGTAGCAGAAGAGGTGTGGGGAGAGATCTTAGAAAAGGGCTGGTAAATAACTTCGCCATCCTATTATTAGCTCAAGTCACATCCATACAAACCTTTGGTATCACGCTGATACTCTTCACTGGCAAGAAGTGAGTCACCAGGATGACAGGTTCTGAGCTGGGCATCTGCCAACCAATGGGGCAGGATGACTCAGAATGGACGCTCAAGATTACCAGCCCTGCAGACACCAGCAGAGGGGCTGGTGCCATCTGGCCAACGCTTGGAATTGAAGGACAAAGGATCTTCTCCGGTAATGAGAGCTCACTCTAAGGTCACTTCTTGGGGAAATATTGTTTCAATGACAGAAACCTTTATTACAAATGTTCAATCTGGGACTGAATCTTTGACTAGGAAGAGGAAAGGCCATTAAGGCAGTGCAGGGCATCTGTCTGGACAATAACAACAACAGGAAATGTGCCCAATATTATCCCCCTCGCAGATGAACCAAAAATACACATGAACTGAAATCTTTAGGTAACTTATTTTGGCACACATAGAAGAGAAAAGAGCAAGACGCATTAAGGACTTTGTTTTTAAAAACAAATCATTTTCCAAGTGTGTTTTGGGCACCTGACCTCCTTTAATCCAACATTTACTTCACTGTAATTCATTTGAAGACTGAAGCTAAAAATGTCTAAAAAGCAAAATTATGAATCATTTCAAAAATAATCAATTATATTCCACACACTGTTCCCATGTAGAGAGGAAAATGAATAAAGCTTTTAAAATTATATTTGCAGTAGGACATGGGGCTGAGCTGCATCAGGCTGGGCCACTGATTCATTTACGCGCCTGCACAAGGTTCATCCAGTACCACGGACGCAGCACATGTTCAATAACTGTTTGTTGAACAAATAAATGAGCGCTCTGTTAACAAGAAGATTAAGATGCCCAGGAACTCCACCTTTCCTGATTATCCTTTCCTAAATATTCCCATGACTAGTACACTTCTTTAGAAAAAATCGATATGAACTCTTTTTCCCCAAGGCCACGATATATGTCATTGAGGATTGCATTTGGAAACTGAAAACAGGAAGAGAAAACCACCCACACATTTCCTGGAATTACTGTTTCTGTTCCACATGGTCGGAAAACAGTGTTTACCTGAATCAATACTTTTCAGTAGTGCATAGAAGTTTGGAAAATATTGGAGTTCCTCAAAGTTGTCTTCACTGTAGGTTTTGGTTCTCCTTTCGAAGCCATTTGTCAAGGTTAAGGTGTTAGATACTGTCTCGTCATTTTCTCCATTAGCAAAACCATCTTGAATTGCTGCCATTGGAATCTCCGGTGGGAATAAAAAAAAAAAAAATCAATGAAAAATAAACATTTCGTTAGAACTAATGTCACTGCAGCCTGATTCTTTCCTCTGTTGTGCCCTGGGCCGTGAAGTACAGGAATACCCCCTCCTTTGCCTGCCCCTGCGGGACCATACCCTCCCCTAGGCATGAGGGTGGCCATCTAGTCATGTGGAAAAGTCATTGACACATAGGGACTGAAGACCCTGGGTCCCGCGCAGGGGAGAATTAGGGAAGTTCTAGGTTTCTGCTCTGGCCGAGTTTCCCTCCATCAGTTCTCACGACTGTCTCCTGGTAAAACCGTCTTCCACCAGGAAGAGGAGCTTTGAGTTCACAGGCTCTACCATGGAAGACGGCGCAAGGTATAGGAAAGCTTGTCGCCATACCCAACACGAGTAGAGCAGTCACACCGTGGAGATTTCTGGGTGACATTTTAAGGGCTGTCTAGACGGACGCACAAGACCCTTGATCCACATGTGGGGTTCCTCATATTAACGATTCAGTCTCCATCCCTGTCAGTGAACTAGACAGAAATTTATAAGCTTTTTTTGGCTCCTTCCTCTTCCTTTTGTTCCATTCAATCCATCAGTAGGCCTTTTGGCCCAATTTTTAAAATGGATCCCAAATTTGTACATTTCTCTCTTTCTCTGTACCCAACTCTAGTCCAAGCTGCCTTCATCTCTTACCTTCTAACTGGTACGCGACCCACCTCCAGTCTGTTCCCAACACTACATTTTCCACGTTTATACCCAGAGTTGTTTAAAAAACTGATCAGGTAACTCCTTTGCTTATAATCCTTCAGTGGTTTTCCATCATTATGATCAGGATCAGAATCCATACACAGCTCATAAGGCCCTGCCTGGTCTGGCCGGGGCCCACCTCCCCCCTCACCTCTCACTGCTCTCTCTGTGTTCCAGCCACACTGCGCTTGCTTTAGCGCCTTAGAGACGCTGCACAGTCTTCCTCCTTCCTTACTGTGTGTGGCCTCTCCTGGTCACAAGTTAATTCCTCTTCAGCCTTCAGTTTTCAGCTCAAGTCACTTCCTCAGGAAAGCCTTCCTTGAGCCTGAGTCCAGGACAAGCCTTTTTATTTATTTATTTATTTATTTATTTATTTATTTATTTATTTATATTAATAAGGGCTTATAGAACCATGTTTCTTTCCTCAGAGCACTTAATGCAGTTGTAATTAAAATGCATGACTAAATCATCTACCTCTACCATTACATCTTAAATTTCTTGAGAGCAGGGATTTTGTCTTTTTAAATGAGCATTATATTCCCAGTGCTTGGTACATAGTTGGTATCTTAATAAGTATTTATTTAAAAAATATTTCATTTGCATTGGTGCATTTGGATAACATGAGTGAACAGGTGGACATTTAGACATGGGAAATAAGGAGAATGTAATTGGAGTGAAAATAATTATGTCAGTTTCAGTTCAGACTGGTAAGCTTGAGTGAAAGTCATGAGTTCTTTGATAAAACCAGAAAGTTTTCACAGTGAATAGCTCTCCAAAAACTGTTTAAAAAGATGGCAGCGGAAGGGGATTGGAAGTAGGGAGAACAAACGAGAGCTTTTAGACTATCTAATAACAAAAATCCAGATCCAATTTATGTGTTCTAGCCTCCTCTAAAACAGGAGTATGTAAGCCTATATACTCTTCTCCCTTATATTTGGGATAGGATGTTAGAGGGGATGAGATGCAGTGGGGTTTGGGTGCTCTGGTGGAGAAAATCAAAGACGAGGTGAGGAGTTCGATATCTTCCTATCATTAGCTCCATCTGGAGTTTTAAAGAGAATTCAAGGAGGAGACAAAGATTTCAGCAGCTTGGCTGAGATGAAAGAAGAGATGAAGAGGCAAGGAGTCCAGCAAGGAGGAAGAATGAATGATTGGTCTAAGTAAAGGATGGCAGGTAGGCTCTGAACCAGTGAAAAGAGGCAGGAGCAGATGAGAGGGCACAGGGCAGAGCAGAGGCCGCTCAGGCAACCAGCTCTGGGGAATATAAAAGCTGGTGTGGCAGAAGATCAAATCAATCTGAGTATTTTATTTTATTTTAATTTTGGGGGCATATAATGATATCTACAGTGAACAGAAGTTGGGTACCAAAAGAGCTATGAAATATTTAATTTCAGTACAATGGGGTTATACAAATAGTTGTTATGTGAAATAACCATTTTATATAATATAATATTATGTGTTGTTATACTGTGGGATATAAGATGTAACTTTTACTATGTAATATAATATCACCTGTATCTCTAAATTATTTTCAAAGTAGAGTTCATTTATATCTTTTAACTTATTGGTATTTCATGAATATTTTAGTGGACTAAAAATGTCACATACCCCAAATATTCTTTGGCATCAAATGAGGTATTAATTATCTACAGGTTGTATTAATTATATACAACTATGAGTACACACACACTCATGTCCACGCACATGCATACATACACGTGTACATAGCATACTCATGTACATTCACGTATACATACCACTTTCTCTGGTATTTTTCCAGCCTGACTCTCAGTCTTGCTTGTGGGTATATTAGTTTTCTCCTCATAACTGTTGGCTTCCTTAGAGATTATTTTCTGTAAAACCTCTGCTACTTCATCTTCCAGTGTGTGCGCCTGGCTTTCTGTGATCTGTTATAGTCAAAACATATATAACTGTTATTCCTATTTTTATGGTAAAAAAAAAAAAAATCTAGACCAAACTCTTTAGTTGAATACATTTTCAGAAGACAAGAGAATCTTCTGACCCCTCTGCTGGACAACCTTTGTTTATGCCTCCAGGCATGTAGGTCTTCATGGTGACTGACCAGCACTCCTGGGAAGATGTGACTTTGGGCTCCCCATGCAAGTGGTCAGTCTTGCCTGTTGGAGCCCACAGAACACTTACTTTGAGACCCATCTTGAGGATTGTTTCTCAACCCTGAGCTGCAAGTCATGGTCAGGTAACCTTTGAAGTCTACAAATGTAGCACCCTCTTCAAGCCTGCCAGGGCTATGCAGGGCTGGGAGCCAAGCTGAGGCAGGGGCAAACTGGATTGCTTAGTTTCCCAAATATTGCACGCCTTTGTTCATGCTATGTCCTTCTCACACCACACATGGACCTTACTTAAGCTGGTTAAATCCTAACCATCTTTCTAAGCTCACTTCAAACACCTCCTCCTTTGAAGCTTTTCCTTCTAGCTCAGTGGGATATAATCCATCCTCTGGCAAACCGAACTGACTATGGTTCTTACGCAGCTTCCATGATATGCATGCATGTACTTGTCTAATTCCTCCAATAGGCTATACATTTCTAGAGGGAAAGAATGGGGCATTACTGGCCCCAGAAACCTATGGCGCCCAGTATAAAGTAGATGCCTTATAAACATTTGGCTACTTGAATCAAATGGCTCGGCCTCTTAGCATATTCCAAACTGCACTAAGAATTTGGTTTGTTCTCATGCATACGACTCACTAGGCCGAGATTCAGGAGTTTAGAAACGATCTTGTCAAATACTCCTCTGTCATTTTCCTCATAAATCCTGGTGGCGATTTTCTGGACAATGTCTTCAGCGGTTAAAGGAGTTCCGTCCAGCTGATGAAGGCCATCTGGATCATCTAGACAGAGCAATCACAATTTCACATCATGGTGAAAACATAGGTCTGTTTCTTGGATTATATTATATTTCTAATCTGTACCTTGCTCTTGTACACTTAGGTATGTTTGGAATATATTTATAGTGGTCCACAAAAATTCTTGGTTTGAAATAAAATTTGACTGCAAGTGAAGAACCTAGGATGTCAATGGAAATTCTGAAAGCCTCTTATGTGATTATAAGAGGCAGGAAAATCTGAAGTCAACACAAAAGGCCTCTCTGTTTTTTATGATCACTAATAATACAAACAATATTATACTTTTTATTTTGATAGTATGCCATATTTATCTAGTATGCGACATTGTTTAAAGCACCCTTTTATGTATTATATAATGATATTCCACGTCCTTGCAAGGAGTAGATTAGTAGAATCCACACATGCAGGCAAATTCCTGGGCCAAGGGTGGGGGAACCTGCCTCACACCCAGAATCAGAGAGTGTACTGAAGATTTTATGGCTTACCCAGAATAAATGTTGACTTCTAAGTGAACATGTGCCAGAGTGCCTTTATATAAAGTAGCTCAGTGTGACAAGACTCTTTCTTTAGAGAACAGGGAACTTATTTTATGTGCTTAGAATTTAAACTTTTAAAACGTGACAACAGATTTACACAAAGCAGCATGTAAATCTATGTAAATCTCTGCAGAGAAGATTGCAAATATGGATCCTTGGCTTCCCTGGGAATGATTTTGGCAGCAAACTTCTGGGAAGGGAGGGTGCGGTAGAGTTGGTGAGGAGATCTTTCCCAATCTATGTCACACGGAGCAGTCTATCCATATGTGCAAGTTTACAAGGCACTTAACTCTCTTTGTTACCTCTGGGCAGATAAGAAAGATCAGAATTTTAGCCCCAGCAATGCACCTTGTTACTTACATATCCTTGTTATCTACATATCCTTGGAGGAACATAATAAGGGTATCTATTTCATGGGATTTGACGATGAGATGAAATAAGATGTAAAAGCACCCTTTCAATTGCGAAGTATTATGTGAAAGTTAATGTAGTATTATTATAACAGACAGTGGCTTTATACCTGAAATAAAGGAACTGCAATTATCTCCTAGAGAAAATAAGCATTGAATCCCTGGCTACATTCTGCCCAAATTCTGGCCATATTCACTTAAAGAAGGAAGAACCTAGTATTTCTATTCTGATTCTCCCCTTTCTTCCATGACTTCTGGGGATTCAAACAAGAAATGTTGTCCATGGTCTTTCTTTCAGATTCTCTGGAGATGGAAGTATATGCAGCCCCAGCCAGACTATTTTCTTGTTGTTTGGACAGAAGCTGAGGAAAATAAGTAGGGTGCCCAGAGGACTGGAAGTTTTCTGGCAGTATATTGGGGTTACTGGGCTGTCGACCAACCCAAGAACTCTGATCCCTTTGAGTCCTGTGAACCAGAGCGACAAATGAACACAAAAATTCTGTAAAATCTGTTCCCCTCCTGGCTGATTGAAAATTGGATTCATCATCTGGGTTTTGTTTATTTTTTTATTTTTATTTTTTTTAAGGAGCAGAGACCCATTATCAGTTAGGTCTGAGTTTTTCCATTTGTGGGTTGCAGGTCAGAGTCTTGGGAAAAGGTGGAGCAGAAATTGCCCCGGTCTGTGCAGAGGTGGAAGAATTGATTTCCCTTCCCACTATCCTCAGGATCTGAGAAAGGAAGACTATTGGCTGCTGGCTGGGGCTACCCACAATCTTCCTTTTTCAGATCCCAGGGGTTAAGTGGGAAAGGAAATAAATAACTAGATGGCTGCTTTTCAGTTCATTTACTTCACAACAGGGAGAACATTAGCAACATTCAAGAAATAGCCTCTTTCCTCTGCCGCACTGCTGCATTGTCTTGAACCAGGGACTGGGCCTCCTCCCCTAGCAGAACTTTGCTAGACAGAGGTCAAGGACTGAGCTCTTGGACCCTGCTCCTTACCTTCCACTGATTTTCCCTGACTCCTCTAAAATGGACAGAATTACTCAGAATGACTTCTCTAACACTCACAGAGGGTATTTCACCCTCCTGTATAGACCGTCAAGGGGAAGCCAAACATGAGTTCACCATTTATAACTTTTTTAAAGCAGCTATAACATTCTAAGTGAATGTAAAAGGGCCATGTTCTGACTGGTTAGGTTTTAACAAGTTATGTTTTGAATCTCCAGCATCTAAAATGGCACTTGACATTCATTTGTTCAATACATTTTTATGAAAGTCTTAATATGAGCCAGAACTGGAAATAGAGTCATGAAGAGTTTAGGCATGGTCCCTACCTGCACAGAGCTTGCTATCTAGTTCAGTGATTTTCAACCAGAGTGCCACAAGAACTTTTAAAACAGGCAATACCTGACTAGTCAGGGGCACTGACCTCTTTTCCCTTAGATTGTCAAATAAGAAAATGACAACAGCCAACACAACAATAGCCGTCCAGTGTGAATGAATCAAAATTATACCTATTTTTTTGTCAGATCAGCAAAAAATATAATTTTTGATGTGCCGCAGAATTTTAGTAATTGATTTATTTGTGCCATGAGATGAAAAAAGATTGAAAATCGCTGGTCTGGTTCGTAGTCTGATACATAGTAATTGCTCAATGAACATTGTTTGCTGAATGCACACAGGAGCCTGGAAGAACTACTTCACAAAAGAAACTTGGAAAAAATCCCGAATCACACGTGCTGCAACCCACACTGAAAAGGAGAGCTGAAGGGCCCTATCACAAGCCCATTTGGAGGTTTCCTAAAGATGTGAAAGCACCCTGCAAAAGTTAGGTTGCTGCACCCCCACCTGCTCTGGGATTTAAGTCTGCATGCCTCTGAGTTCTAGTCACCTTGGTGGTATCAAATGCTCTGTTTCCAGGATTTCCAGGGTATGAGAAGAGACCAACAATTCACTCATAAGTCATTTCTCTCTAAAAATCTTATCTGTAATCTCAAGTGGATTTAAAATGACTCCTAAGGGAAACCTAGAGACCTCAGGACTGACACTTGGTAGTTTGGAACTCATTTGGGATGGTAATGAAATGTTGAATAATTTTAAAATAAGTTGCTCAAGTTAGTGATCAGATCACAAACAGAGCTGTGCCTCTGCCTGAATCAACAACCAGTTTGTCCAAAAAATTCAGTCAAACAAACATTAGACTATTTTTTTTTCAAATTTCATTAAATCAAATAGTCAGTTCAAAATAGTTGAGTCTTTTTTGTATGCAGCTATGCCCAGTGTCTATTTCTAGCCAAAATATTTTAGGTTAAAACAGTATTCAAGAAAAGGAAACAAATTCCCTGAGTAGTATGTAATAAAAAATGTGTCAAAATATAAACTATCTGTCCCACCCTATTACATGCACAACATACTTCTGAAATCTCCCCAGGCTGAGATATCCCATAAAAGTAAAATTTAATTGGCAGTTGTTTTCTGGCAGAGATAATCAGCATAATTCTCTTGTGGCCAAAGAGCAGAGCAAAGACATATAAGAAAATCTGCAGTCTCAGGAGAAATCCTAAGCACTGGTATTCAGGATGGAAAGCACACTCTCTTCCTCAATTTCTAGGTAAATAGTTTATTTATTCTCTCACGTATTCTTTTTTTGTTCATTCATTCATTTATCAATTCATGCAATGAAATTTATGACTACCCAGACACTGGGGCTACAATGTCTCTGTTCTTGTGAAGTTTTCAGTTTAGTTTAGGAGAAAGAGATAAATCATAAGTAGTCACACTTAGGAATGTAAAATTACAAACTGCATTAAGTGCCATGAAGGAAAGGAACAAGGTTTTTGTTAGATCATGTGTGCTAGATGAACCTAGAAAAGTAGAAAGGAATCAGTCCATGCAGGACTGTAGAAGCTATGTTAAGGATTCTGGTTTTTATACCAAGAGAAACGGGAGTCTATTAATGGGTTTTATGCAAAAGAATAACATGTTTGTGTGTTGCAAAGATCACCCTGGCTGCTACGTGAAGAAGAGTTGGAGGGGGGAAAAGCAGATGCTGGGAGACCCATTAAAACATGTTGCTGAGTTGAAGTGACACATGATTAGAGATCGGTGATTAAAAATAGAGAAAAACAAGTGACAGATACCGGTGAAATTGATAAGATTGGTGGGTTACAATTTGAGAGGCAAGGAAAAAGAGAAATAGTTTAATTCCTAGATTTCTGTCTTGAAAAATTTCATGAGGAGTAGTGCCTTTCTTAGAGAAAGAGCACTCTAAGAGGCTAGGTTGTAAGGTATACAGATATTATGAGATTAATCTTGGCCATGTCAAGTATATATACCAGAAGAGTCTAGGCTAGTGATATGTGACATCAGGATATAGATGGCAACTGAATCATGAAAAAGTTAGAATGACCTAAGGAGAAAGGCTATAGCTAGAAAGAGACCCCCGGAAAGGGGGTAATGGGTATTTCACATTGGGGAAGGGGGTATTAATTATTTGAGAATTATGGTATTTTGTTGGTACTAATAGTTAAAATATTAAATGTTAAATATTAAATAGAATAAAATATAAATAATAGGTTTAAATTTTTTTCAAAGTATCAGTAAAGAGACCTTTAAAGAAAAAATAAAGTTTGGGCTCCTGTGGAGCTGGGGCTTTGTGCATTGTCAGTAAATTTGGGCTTTATCTCAGTTTTGGACCTGACTAATAGAGGACTGTGAGAATATAAGAGATACATTTTTTAAAATATAGGACTTTCTACTAATCCATAATAAGAAACTCCAAATTAGAGAAAATAGGTAGCCAATTTTTCCCCCTCGTTTACCTTGAAATTTATGGTCCAGTCCACTCTTAGTAGAATCATAATCATCAATTAGTCTTCGATTCTTGGTTGAATCAACATCATCCATGTTCAATTTATTATCATATGGGGAGCTTCTTATGGATTGTCTTTCTTTCTCAAATTTTTCCTTTTCTGTTATTGCCTTTAGCAGGCTCAAGTTATCAACAAAGGAATAATTGCTTTCACCTGGCTTGTTTTCTGAAAGAAAAGCCCCCATTTTAGCTAAGATTCTCATAGCCTACATCACTTAAATTAACATCAGTATAGTTTCTTTTTACCTGGAGGGTATGTGTTTTTAATCTTGTCTGCTTCTGCTTCAGCAATCTGTGAAACAAATAGGATAGAGGCCTGGTTTTAAATCATTGTTCCACCACTTACAAAATATGACAGATAAATGATCTAATCTCCATAGGATTTAGTTTTCTTATTTGTAAAATGTAGATAATAATCTCTGTCTCAAAGCAATGACATAAGTGACATAAAATGAAAGGCAGATGGTCCATAAGTATTAATCCCCTTCTCTTACAATATTGGTGAAAAATAAATCTCTGATAAATTAAGCAATCTTTCAATAGAATGGATGTGATGTGGCCCTTACTAGGTATTATATAGTCAGCTCTATGAATTATATAGATATTGCATAGATATTACAAAATTATATTTCCCATCTTAGTTTCTGTTGATTTATTATTAACCCCCTGAAGTTTGTGAATTCAAAATGTCTAAAGTTTCCTAACATAATTACATTATTAAATAAACTAAAATGTCATACATAATTACATATACAAAATAAATTGAAACAGCATTTATAATTTTATTTTTGACCTACCTGTTCATTCAGAGGTCTTTCTGCACTTAATTCTCTATTATGTACAGGTTTGTCTAGAATAAACACAAAAATATAAATTTAATTGTGTATTGGAAAGACGCAATATGTCTCGTATGAAATAAAACCTTCATAAAGAAAAACAATAGGAGACATATTTTGAATAAGCATGAAACAAAAATATATATTAACAAAGATGATCGAGATTATACGATAACAATGACCATCACGTTGCCTTGCTCACTATCCTGCTGTATTTCCTGAGTTAAGAGAATTACACTTTTTTTCCTGACCAGAACCTAACATATAGCTCTAACACTTGGCTTACCAGCTGTTTTCAGCTAGACAGCACAATTTGGACTGGTATTATAAGCACATTAAAAGCCCTTTTATCGAACCTGTTATGAACAGAGTATCTAAGAAAGACTGTAAGACAACTAGAAAGAAAAAACCAAACCCAAGCACTTTATTAGGCAGAAAAGCCACCCCCTCCCAATTTCAAAATAAAACCTTTCAAAACAACTCGGGTTATTGCTCTATCATACCAAAAGTGAGGGGGATCTGTCTCCAAACTCGGACTGATTTCTCTGTCAACGTGCACGGATGTGACCTGACCAGAAAATGAGGCCGGGCGATGCGCAGCCCATTGCCTAAGCCCAGCTCCACCTTCCGCGGCGCGGCGGAGGGAGGAGGGAAGGAGAGCGTCCCGTACCTCGGCCGCCCCCCGGCTGGGGGAAGGCTGGAGCCGGGCTGCTGTGGACCGCCAGCACCAGGATCCAAGCGCCGCTCCAGACGAACCCCATCTTCCACTCTTGGCTTCAGAACCGGCCTGGCGCCGGGCTCCCGGAGCTGTGGCTTTTGTTATGAATGAAAAAGAGGAGTGAAAACAGGAAGAGCTAGGAGGGCGGGTGCGGGCAGGGAGGTGGTGGGAACCCGGCTGCGGGAGGAGCTGCGGCGGCTCCCGAGCGACGGCTCCGGGCGCCCGGGCTCAGGTCGCAGGTGGAGGCGAGCGCTGTCCGCCCCGGGGGTGCTGAAGTTCCCGTGCGGGGGGCCGGCCGCCGAGCCGCTAGGGCGTAGCCGTACCCCGTCTCCTTGAGACCTGGGGAGGGGGGAGGCGCATGCTCCCTGCAAGCCGGAGGCGGGAGGGATGGCGTCAGCGACTCCAAAGCTACTCCAACCCCCTGGGAA